ATCCAAAATATATAAAGAGCTCATGCACCTCAACAAACAAAAAGCAAATAATCCAATTTAAAAATGGGCAGAGAAGCTGAACAGACAGTTCACCAAAGAAGAAATTCAGATGGCCAACAGACACATGTAAAGATGCTCCACATCGCTAGTCATCAGAGAAATGCAAATTAAAACCACAATGAGATATCACCTCACACCAGTAAGGATCGCTTCCATGCAAAAGATATACAGCAACAAATGTTGGTGAGGTTGTGGAGAAAGGGGAACCCTCCTACACTGCTGGTGGGAATGTAAATTAGTTCAACCATTGTTGAAAGCAGTATGGAGGTTCCTCAAAATGCTCATAATAGACATACCATTTGACTCAGGAATTCCACTTCTAGGAATTTACCCTAAGAATGCAGTAGACCCATTTGAAAAAGACAGATGCACCCCTATGTTTATCGCAGCACTATTTACAATAGCCAAGAAATGGAAGCAACCTAAATGTCCATCAGTAGATGAATGGATAAAGAAGATGTGGTACATATATACAATGGAATATTATTCATCCATAAGAAGAAAACAAATCCTACCATTTGCAACATGGATGGAGCTAGATGGTATTATGCTCAGTGAAATAAGCCAGGCAGAGAAAGACAAGTATCAAATGATTTCACTCATATGTGGAGTAAAAAAATAAATTAAAAAACTGAAGGAACAAAACAGCAGCAGAATCACAGAACCCAAGAATGGATTAACAGTTACCAAAGGGAAAGGGACTGAGGAGGATGGGTGGGAAGGGAGGGATAAGGGGCAGAGGAAAGAAAAGGGGTATTACGATTGGCATGTATAATGTTGGGGGAGGGCATAGGGAGGGCTATGCAACACAGGAAAGACAAGTAGTGATTCTACACTGATGGACAGTGACTGTAATGGGGTGTGTGTGGGGCGGGTACTTGGTTGAGGAGCCTAGTAAACATAATCTTCTTCATGTAATTGTAGATTAATGATAACAAAATAAAAAAATAAAAGTAAATAAAAGGTCTAACATACATGTATGAAATGAACAGGAGTTAAAAAATACAGACTCCCAGCTATAAAATAAAGGAGTCATGAAGATGTACTGCTTGGAAGCTACAGTTAATACTGTATTGTATATCTGAAAGTTGCTAAGAGAAAATATCTTTAAAGTTTTCATCCGAAGAAAAAAATGTGTTAGAATGTATGGTAAGGGATGTAAACCAGATTTTTTGTGATGATCATTTCACAATACATAGAAATCATTATGCTGTACACTTGAAACTAATATTTGTCAGTTATATATAAATTTTTTAAAAACTTTTAAAGACCTCTTAGTATCTGATGGAAGAAGCAAACAAAAAATAAATCAGTAAGGATACAAAATATTCAAAGAACATGATTAACCAACTTGACAAAAATGACATATAGAACACTACACCCAATGACTGAATACATTTCTGCTTGAGGGGCTATAAATCATTTAACAAAATAGACTATAAAGTGGACCACAAAATAAATATCAAAAATTGCATAGTATGTAACATACAGAGTGTACTCTCTGACCGTAGTGAAATTAAACAAACAATCAAAAATAAAAAGATAATTGGAGAAGGTCTAAATGTTTAGAAATTAGGCAACACAGATGTAAATGAGTTGTAGGTCAAAGAAAAAATCACAATGGAATTCTGAATAGTGAAAGAAACAGTACAGTAGAACTTGTAGAATGTAGCTAATGTAGTGCTTATATGGCAATTTATAGCTAAAAATGATTATAATAGAAAAATAAAGATACTCCACAATATATAACCAAGCTTCTACAACAAGAAGAGTTAGAAAAAACATGGCAAAGCTAAAAGAAAAAATAATAAAGATAGAAGCAAAATACACAAAATAAAAAGCAAATATGCAACAAAGAAAGAAAAATCGAAAAAGCTAGAGACTTTTCATTGAAAAATTTAATAAAAGCAATAAACCCTAGCAAGACTAATTGAGAAAAAACATGTTATCAATAACAGATATAAAAATGAGAACATCCCTACAGATCCTAGATTTTAAACAGATAAAATATATGATAAACACATTTCTCTTAATAAATTTGAAAATTTAGATGAAACAAATTCCCTGAAAAATACAACTTACCAAAACTGACACGAAAAGATATAAAAATCTGTATTTCCCTACACCAATTTGTGGAAACTAAAACCATAATTTAATTTCTTAGCAACAGCAACAAAAATTCCAGTTCCAGATCTTTACTGGTAAATTCTTCTAACCATCTTTAAGAGAAAATACTACTCCTTTGTTTTTGACAGAATAATTATCTTTTATTATACTAATTACACTAATAGATATACATAGATATAAATAGATATAAATAGATAATTAGGGCACTACTCTGTGAAAATAATAGCTTTATATTAATGACTGGACTTTTTTGCAACTTATCTTCACCATCCCCTCTGCCTCTTCTGGCCTACATATATTTGATACCTAAAGTTAAAGAAAATGTATAATTCAAATTCCCCCATATATACCCTGAGTTTCTATGCTTTTTTGAAGGTTGCAAGATTTAGCAAATTAGAATACATGGCCCTCAGTTAAATTTGAATTTCAGATGAACAATGAGTAAGTTTTTTTAGTATAAGTCCCAGATGTTATAACATTAGCGATGATTCCTGTAAGGCAATATACTCAGTAACCACTATGTAGATGTTCTTAGAGGACATATAACTAGTGTTCTATCCAGTATTCCCACAGAATATCCGAAGAGTTGTAAGAATTTTATGGAAAAATACTACTACTCTTACACAAACTCTTCCAGAGAAGAGAAAAAGAATAACACTTTACAAATAATTTTATCAGGTTAGCATTATCTTGATTCCACAACCTGAAAGACATTACAAGAAAAGTTAGAGCCCAATGTCCCTCATAAACATAGCAACAAAAGTCTTAAAATTTTAGCAAATTGGAATTTGCTAAATAATCCAGTAGAAAAAAATAATAATACAGTAATCTGATAAATCCATTAACTTAAAGAAGAAATAAGACATAATAACCAAGTAGAATTTACTCCAGAAATGAATGGCTTAACATTGGAAATAAAATCAATATAACTTTAAAACATTAACATAATAAAGAATAGAAATAATGCTTTCCTACTCCTTTCTAAAAAGATGCAGAAAAAAAATGTTTCAATACTCATTCATTATAAAAAAGAAAATATTATCAGCAAACTTGGAATAAAAGGGTTTGTGGTAAAAATTCATTTAAATGTTTAGAAATCAGGTATTGCCCATATAAATTTCCATATAAAATAGAATGGGGACTATAGTTAATAATACTGTATTGTTTATTTGAAACTTGCTAAGAGAATACATCTTCAAAGTTTTCATCACAAGAAAAAAAATTTGTATCTATGTATAGTGATGGATGCTAACTAGACTTATGTGATTTTATAATATACACAAATATTAAATCATTATAAATACCTGAAACTAATATTTTATAAATAGTATTAAGCTTATATGGAAATACAAAAGCCATAGACCAGCCAAGGAAACACTAAAGAACAGGACAATAGGTGGTCATTTCAGCAGCACATACACTAACAAAAAATTAGAACAATACAAAGATTAGAATCACCCCTGTACAAGGATGACAAGCAAATGCGTGAGGCATTCCATTAAAAAAAAAAAGAACAGGACAACAGAATGACTTACACTACTGGGCACAAAAACTTATTATAAAGCAACAGTAATTAAACAGTATAAAATTACCTTAGATTAATAGAAGAGAACAGAATCCAGAAACATGCACATACATACAGTCACTTGATTTACTGTAAAACACTATAGCAATTCTGTGTGGAAAAAGGACAGCTTTTTTAATAAACATGTTGGAACAACTAAATAAAAACATATAAATACAAATATAATTATAAATACATAATAATAATATGAAGAGAGAAAGTGACTTCTTCCTCAACCATATACAAAAGTTAATCCCAGGTGGATCACAGATCCAATGTACTAACCAAAACAATACATCTTTTAGAAGAGATCATAGGGTAATATGTTTAGCCTTGGAGAAAAGACTTCTTAAACAGATCAGAAAAGGCACTAAACATTAAGAAAATATTGACAAATTGGATTTCACTTAAATTAAGGATTTCTGTTAATCAAAGTACACCATGAAAAGAATGAAAGGCAAGCCACTGACTAGACAGTGTCTCTGAAAAGCATATGTTCAACAATGGAATTATATCCAGAATATATTCAGAATTTAACAAATCAATATATTTTAAAAAGACCGACAACCCTATTTTTTTAATGAGTTAAACAAAAAAGAAACCTTAACTGCAGAACAAATGCAACTGGCCAATAAACATAAGAAAAAATGCTCCTTATTCAATAGGAACTGAAAACTAAACCCACAATAGCAATATTAAATAGACAATACCAAATGGCATGAATGTGAAGCAATTAGAACTCTCATAAATGACTGTGTTAGACAGAAAGACAGAAATAAGTGGGATGGAAAGGAGAAAGGGCCCCCCAAAGACGACTCAGGGAGTTGATCAATAGAACCAGAAAAGCAGAAATGACTCAAAGAGTTAATCAGATGAAGCTACAGGGTCCAAGAGTGACTCAAGAAATGTCCAGGGTCCCCCCAGATAAGAAACATCAGAGACACAGGCACAGCACAGCCCCTGTTCCCATTTCACCAATCAGAACAAGCCTAGAGAGCTGACAGCTGTCAGTCAAGGACCTCTCTGCCCTGCCAAAAACCACATAAAAGAAGCCTCAGAATGAGCATCCATGCCTATCTGTCTTATCTTAGGCAGGCCCGCTCTGTTACTCTATACAGAGTGTATTAAAACTTACTTTGCTTTCTCAACTTTGGTCTCTGATCTTACTATATATGACTTCCCTGTGACACTAAGCCGAGTCCTTTCCTTTCTAACAACTGATGGAAAAATAGTTGATAGAACTATTTTGGGAAAAAATGTTTAGCAGCATCAATTAAAGCAGTACATATGTCTGTAAGTGACACAAAAATTCCACTCCTGGGCATCCACCCAACAGAAATGACAACTTCTTTCCACTAAAAAAATTATACAAGAATGTTGATGGTAATAATTTCATAATAGCAAATACTGAAAGCAGTCCAAATGTCCTTTGACAAAAGATAAATAGAAGAGATAAATAAATGATGATATATTCACACATTAGACTACAACTCAGCAAGAAAAAAGGATACATTACTAACACATGCAACAATATGGATGCCCCTCAAATAAACAATGGTGAATGAAAGAAGCCATACACAAAAGAGTAGACTGTATGATGGATAGTGACAAATGAAAGAATATTGGTATGTGACTGGAGAGGGCATGAGGCAGTCACACATAGGGTATTGGAAATTCTTTGTATTTTTATTTAGGTGATACTTACATTAAAAAAACACCATTGACTTGCATGATCAATATTGGCATACCTCAATATATTTAATACCTCACTTTTTTTAAAAAAACAAAAAAATTGAAAATAATACATATGCACTATGCAAGGCAGTAAAATATATGTGAATACAAAAAGCAGAGTGCTATGAAACTTTAGAGGACTCTCAGACCAGTTCTATCTACAATTGTAGGTAAAAGCCGTAAGGTTGGATTGAGTCTTGAATAGGTGGGACTTGGATTAAACATAGAGTCTAACTATAGGGTATGGAAATAAAGGGCGTAAACAATGATTCATGAATATTCCAGCTAAAATGATACAGATCAACAGTTCCTAAAGTATGTCCTCAAACCAGCAGGGTCAGCATTACCTGGCAGCTTGCTAGAAATTCAAATTCTCCAACCCCATCCCAGACCTACAGGTCAGAAACTGTGAGATGAGCCCCAGCAAACCTTCCGGGTGATTCTGATGCCTGAGCAATCTTAGAACCACTGTTACGAAGGAAACTGAAAAAGAAAAATGCATGAAAGCAGGCCATAACTACAGTTTTACTCTTTGGAAAGGCCATAAAAATTACGTGGGATAAAATCAATATATTAAATGAGAGTGAGCCAAGCTATGAGGAAGCATCATTCTCGGGAGGTGATAAGTTTGATTTTAGACCCAAAATGTACTGTTCAAAGAGAAAAGTGGGTTTGCTCAACAGGCAGATCAAAATACAGGACTGAAAAAGAGACTAGGGCTAGTTTAGAGATACAGGAATAGAATATATAAAGTAATTAGTGTAAGATGAATTCTAGCCGAAATAAGCAGGCAAAGAGAGGCAACAAAGGGCCAGGTAGTTTATTTGAACGCAAATACCTGGGCGAGATTTCCCCAGTCTATAGAAATGGAGGCTGGAGAATTCGCACGTCTAAGTAGACAGGCAGCGAGTTTTTAAAGAAGGTAGGGGGAGGCAGAGCTTACATTTACAGCAGCGCGAGGATTGGCTAGCCCAAAGCACATTTTTCAGGTTGGGAAGGGGCAACAGCTGGGGATTTTGGCACGTCACCAGTGTCCGATGTGGGAGGGAGCAGCAGCCGGGGACTTTGGCACGTCATCAATGTCTGACGTGCTTGCTCTTCCCAATAGTGCCCCCAGCCTTACAATTAGTTACAAAAGAATTTATAAATTGCTACATGCTGCTACTTCCTAGGAAAACAAAGAGGAATAGAAACTGAGCATACCATTGCTGTACATGACTCCGCACTCCTTAGGGGTGGGCTGCCCATAGTGACTTTGGTGCAGAGTACATTACAAAAGGGAGAGTGAGGGTAATTTTTATAGTGGAAGAATCCAACAAAGGTCAATATCAGCACTGATATGTCATGTTGACAATATGCACCCATGATATGATGTGATATGATGAAAATAGCACTTTACTTCCCTGGTCTTCCTTCCAAAAACTCATAACACAAGTATAATCGCAACAAAAACATCAGCCAAATCCCCAGGACATTCTACAAAACACCTGACCAGTACTCCTGAAAACTGTCTAGGCCAAGAAAACAAGGAGAGCCTAGAGAAATATAATAAATTTAAAAGTAAAGTTAGTTAACAATAAAATAAAGCAATGGCCAAGAACCAATTCAACTCAGTTCACCACTACCAGCAATACTGTCAGATTGAATTACAAAGTCACCATTCAGACATTCCATCTGGTTCTGATTTTACCTGCATCCCTAGTCTGTCTACCTACAAGACACTACTATAGTTGCTAAGAATAAAGTGATAAATAAAACAAAATCCCCATTCTGAGTAGTGTGCATTCTAATCTCTGAATGCACCGTAGTTCTTAAAGACAGTCTAAGGCACATAACAGCTTCCTATTTGATCTTCAGCATCCAATTCCAAGTATGTACCCCAGAGGGTCTGGGCCTAGACAGTTTCCATTGAAAATGTTTAGGCAGATTAGCTTATTCCTACAAAGGGGTACTTAATGGCCCCCAAAATAGCACCACACAAATGCATTTCTCCCTACCTGAAGCCACAGAATTTAAAGAATAGGATTATCTTCTCAAGATAAAGGAGAGCTGTATAGGTACAAAAGCTTGTAAGGAAAAACAAAATTAAAATACGGGTGGAAAAAACAGAATAGTTGGGAGATGCAATGTGCCCAACTATTTGCTATTCTGCCTACCAAGTCACTGAGTATCTCAGCTTTAGCTGATTTAATTTCCTTCGAGATACTAATTCCCTTCACACTAGCTATTCTTCCAGAAATAGTAAACAGAACTGTAAATCCTTTCTATGTCTGCACACACACACACACACACACACACACACACACACACACACTTACGTCTGGTTCATTGTATCTGTGGTGTCTCTCAAACCCATCTGTTATTTGCAATTCTTATACCCCAATTTATACTTTTAACTATACTAGTACAAAGGGCCACACTGATTTATTCTCATACAGATTTTCCCACTCTAATATTTTCCACACAAAACCATCCCTAATATTTCAAAAACACCTCTTGGTGATGCCAGGGTTCTTGTTCACAGCGTCAAAGAATGAACTTCGCACACACTCAAGGTAGGAGAGCAAGGCAGAGGCTTTTATGTAGAGAGAAAGCGAAAAAACAGAGCTCCTGGCTCAAGCCAGGAAGGGACAAGAGAACCCCAGGGTGGTGCATTATCTAGAGATTTTATAGGCAGTTGAGAGACAAAGGGCTAGGGATGTACACCTGCTAAATGGTCCCAAATACCTTTTGAAGAAACACTAAGTTTCTTATTAGTCTTCCTGGTTATTTACAAGAATTTTACTGCTCTGATTTCCTCCGAGGATAGCAGCTTCCTGGTCTGGGAGTATCACTCAAGACTGCCTGCTTTGATCCCCAAAGTGGGCTGAATTATTGTCTGTTAAGAAACTTTAACTAATTGGGTTTTAAGATGGAATCCTTCCTGTTTTTACTATATTGTTTTGGGCTTGCTTGCTACATTGCCTAAGTTGCAACAAATCATTTGTTTAGGGCTGAAGAAAGAAAAGCAGCACTTGGGTAAAGTTAGAAAATAAACTGGGCCCCCAAGCAGGCCAAAGCAAATCTCGCAATGTATTATCTTGCTTTTGTTTTTTTCCAGAGGCCCTCACCCTACTCTGTCTAAGCCCATGGTCCCTGTCTCATTAGGTCATGTCACAAACACCTTTCTGATCTTCTTTCAAAAACCTGAACTAGTTCCCAACTGCT